CGCAAACGAGAGCAACAGCAATATTAATGAACGGATCGACGCGATGTTGGTGATCCTAATCGCGGGAATCGTTACGTTTAACGGATAAGGACGTTTGTCCCACGGCACAGATAACGCGGAAATTAAACTAGCTCGTTGTTCGAGCCATTTTCGCACCTCGTAAGGTAATTCGTATGCAAATTTATGTGTCATTATGCGTTACACCGCGAGTACAGTTACATCCGCGAAGTTCGTACGTGTGTATAAAGCTGTTCCGTGGCTCCGGGAAGCCTTTCGAGGAATCCGTCGAAGCAGATGCAGCTCCTATGCACATGTGTTCGTATCTCTGTGGGAACCTAGGGGCTAAGATTTATGGCGTTCGAGGGCCTCGTTAAGGGTTTAATGCGACCGAGTCGCTCGTTGTCGCGAAATCTTCGGTATCTACCGACCATTACACATGCATCTCTCGTACGAATATTAACTTTCTCAGCGAATGCTTATCCTCGTTCGTTCCTTATTGTTCGTAAATAAAATCTGATCTTCAATTTTCGTATCGTAATAAGTCTTTGTTGTGTCAAATACGCGATAAGCGACTAGATACAATAGCGGAGTAATTGGCGTTTAGTCGAGACAAGGTTCCATGTCGTTGCGACTTCATAGTGTCACCGTTCGACTCGAGTCAGTGACACAACGAAAGGGTTCTCTGTATCGATGCCAATAACTAGTTACGCCGCCGTGCTGGCGCTAATACTTTTCTATAAAATTGTAATCCAGCGGGCAGTCGAGTCGGTTCGACGACCGTCGTACGAAATCTTACAAAGTCCCCAGGCGCATCGGTCCGCGACCCGAAGACGTAACGCGCGAGAGACGCTATTAGCGAGCCTCGTTTGACATAACCGCCGTATGGCGTACACGTAATAGCGGTCTACAAGAGCACACGAAACACGGAACTTTCGGTGTTGAAAGGAGTCAGGCATGCGTGACACGTACGTGCGCGGCCCGTACACGATCGCAAACGATACATCGCAATGGTATCTCGCTCTCGAATCGCGAAGATCGACGAGAAGAATTCGTACCGAGTGAAATCGTCGGGACTGGCTCGTCTCCTCTCCTCTCCGTCTTCCGTCTTCTCTGGCTGCCGCTACAATTAGGGTTAATTAGCACGCGTAAGCGAGAAATCGCAATTGGAGCAGACATGTATAGCAACAGCATCAGTCGCTCTCTCCTCTCGACTTTCCATAGAGTCATCCTCTCGGGACATTGCGAGGCAAAACACTTTGTCTCTCGACGAACACCACGCTCAGACGCGCGAGAATGACGTTACGAAGCGTTACCAGACGTTTCGAAGGCTACCAAATTGATATTTCGGTCCGTATAGTTTTATTTCCATCCTCGTCCAAGATGGTATTATTTGCTCTCGGGTAACCAGTTCCGAATAAACAATGGATTATGCATGTATAATCGAACGTAGGCATCCAACGGTACGCGGGATTCCACGTCCGCTGCGCGGAAATTGAAATTGTTGGCGAACTAGCGCAACACAGCGTTCGCGATTCTTCGATTTGCATATTTCCTACGTCGGGGAATCAAGGTACACATTTTTTCCACCGCGCATCCGACGCATTCGCGTTTGCACGGAGGGTTCAGAAAATCGTTCGACGGAGAACAGCGAGGCTCGTGAATATTTATCGAGGGTTACAATGAAACGGGAATCGCGAAGAAGACCGTTCCATCGTCTTCGCGGTTTCGATATCGTATGCGCGCGTGGTTACGACGGACAAATTAATCGCGCCGCGAATCGACTAATTTATCGCCGGGCGTGGAAAAACAGTTAATAGCAGAAGCAACAGGTACCAGCGAAGGACGAGAGACCGAGACGAGGAGAAGGACGTTCTTTATCGAGATAAACGTTTTTCCACGGCGAACCGTGGAACGCAATTATGTTCGCGGGCCGTACAGCCTGCGTATTTCATTTCGATTCATGTCGTTTATTAACGAGTTTAGTATACGAGCACGGTTACTCTCGGCACACGGTGCTCGTTGTTTCGCATAAACGCGATCTACCTAATCGACGAACAAACATCGTTGCGATCGAGATAAGCCATTGCGTTGTACATTGACAAATGGTAACTCGAGACGTTGGCGGTTGGTGCACTTCGGTATTTTTTAGAAAAACACTGAAGTTTGCAACTCTAGCGTTACGGTGCACGATTAGAATACTGAAATTAACGCCCCGGCGTATCGGTCCGCGACTTCAAACACATGGCCCACGATTGATATAATTGGACAACCATTGTATCGAGGAAAATATACTTATTGCCCGTGTAATTTGTGAAAAGATTGAAGTTAATATACTAGTAACATTGGTTCGTAGCTCCAGAGACATAGTAGTCGATCAGAAAATCGAAAGTAACGCTTTGGTTTCGTTGATTTGCAATTTACCTCAGGGACACGGATCGCGGTAAAACGTTGGTGCACCAAATAAATTTGACATTAATACTCCAGCATTGGTTCGTAACTTCAAAGACATAATCCTCGACGGATAATAACAGGTTGATATTGTTAACAATAATATATTAATTGACCACGTAATTTGCGAGAAGATCGAAGTTAATTCTCCAGTCGTATCATGCCGTGACAGACGATAGAATGTCCCCCAGCGTCGGAAAATAATCTTTGCTCTCGCGATTTATGTGAAGATCCAACTTATTGCCCGAAACCGATCGGTCCGCGCGCCAATTACAATGGCGTTAATTTAGTACGGCTTCTCGGCGATCGTCCCTCGAATTTAACACGAACGCGTATTATATACGCCTCCGTTAATTGGTAGACTAATCGATCCCCCAGGGTCGCGGTTGGTGATTCAAGATTTACGCGTGAGCAATCGCATATATCAACGCGAAGCAACTGAGTTTAAGCCTTTTTCCTCGTGTCCCGTTGTAATTAGCGTTTTCAAGGATGAATTATTAACAGGCTGTTTGCGGAGCCGCTGCGAAATAGGATAAGGTGCAGCTATGGATAGCTGGGAAGGCGTGTTTGTCTCGAAGATTGTTAATTTTTTTGGTAAACGTCAGGTAGCTATCCCACGCATCGGAAGCTCTAACTGTAATCTCGGTGGATTACGTAAGTTCGATTTCGAACTCCTCGCTGTCCCCGCGATTTACTCACTTTCTGTCTGTTCTGCGACCGGCCGGAGTACATCGACCACCGCAAACACGACGGATCCTTATTTACTCGAGAAAACCAGTCATTGTTCGCACCTCTTCGAACCTAGGAAGCATTTGTTCTCCCGTTTAGGTGAAACTTGTAGCGTTCTTGCTTCGTTCCTCCGTCGAACAAATCGTCACGATGACGAACGATGCAACGATTCGAAGGATCTGGGCCTAGAAGCCTCGTCGGTAGGTGGTTGTATCGTTTCGAATCTGTTTCGCAGATAGCTTGAAACGCGGCGTAGGGTGAGGTATCTAGACACTAGACGAAAGAACATCGTCGGTAGTGAGCAGTCTTCAACGGAGGGGCGATGGCCAGGTAGAGGGAGGTGCAAAAGGTGAAAAACAGTTTGCCATCAGCATAACCGGTTTCACGTGTCCCGAGTCTGAGCGTCTCTGTTTCTCCAGGCCTGGCGTGGCTCGGTGCAGGCGATTCAGGCAACGGGGTTTCTTCGTCAGGGTCTCTCGCTCCTCGGATCATAATTGATCTCTGGCTGCTACCGGTGCTAGTATTCTTGTACAGTTAAGCATATTAACTGGTTTATCATCCAGAGCGCGAGGACCAATTTGATTTGCGCCGTATCTACGCTCCCAATCGCGTTTAGCTTTTAAATGGTTATCGATGGTATTGGATTAGTCGGTCGACAGATATAAATATATCATGGCAGATCGTACGCCGAGTCCTTAGAACTGAAAGTGCAATGTTTGTTTTACGATAATAATCCACGGTAATGACTTGGTCACACCGGTCTGGCAACACTGACCGGGTAGTTTTCTAAATCACTGGCTGTATCGACCATTCGAAGGCGTGACACGTGAACTGCGATCGGTATTATATTATATCCGAGCGAAAGTCGTTCTTGCCGAGCTGATATTTGACAAGAAAATCCGAATTTCCAGTCCACGTTTGCACGCTGTTAGAGATGCTGTATTTGTCGTGAAATGGACAATCGAACGTAGAAACGCACCGAAAGGGTAAATAGTTTCCACTCGGTCGAAAGTTGTGAGAGTTGCTCCGGGGTTTTCATTACCGTTCGAGCTCTAATCGTGCATTGGAATCCTTATTTTGTCGTTCGATACCTTTTGCAAGCTTTAACGAGTGCGTTATATCACGTACGGCTGGCGCGTTTCGTCCGTTCGCAAAATAAACGAATAAAAGCCGATCGACGTGAAAGCCGCGATGGTGTCTGGTATCGCTACCTTGACATGGTCGACTCGTTCCAAGCGAATTTCCAGTATCTATTCCGGGCCCGCTTATCGCGTGACTCGGGATTTTTCACTTTCCATACGGGTTTGCCCGCCGGTAAAACGAAAAGCCATTTGCATCGGCGAAGGGTCAAGGATAATCGCGTATCGCCGGGCTGAACGCGTAATTGCACAGACTCCAACGAAGACCTCCTCTGGCATTTAGTTCACGGTAATGCCGTTCTAGATGACTGATCGCCGTTAGGTTAGAAGTAATCGCACGCTCGTTAATGAGTGCTCTCGCGGGCAGGAAAAGCCTTCGAACGTCCTAGGATCGCCGTTAACCGAGGATCCTCGGCCGCGGTTAACCGACGAAAATAAGAAAAAAATACAGCCAATATTAAATCTCGATTGCGATGTTCGTCGAGGAGGAAGTCTTTGATTACGATCCTCGCGCGTTTCACCTGTTGCGTCAATGCTGTCGGGAAAACACTTCCGGTTATTATCGTCTTCCTCTCCCGGTGGCGGAGGATAGTACTTTCCATACTCTTAATCTCGACGACATCCTTCGGGGCGATATCCGGCGCGACGCATCACCAATCACGAGGCGTCGTTGGTGTGTTTCAGACGCAGCGCCTTGGCACGTCATCGCGAGCCGAACCGAGGAGAGGGACAGCGTCTTCGTCAGTCGGTGGCCGGACAATAGCCCGAGGATGTTGCAAAACTGCAGCGGCGGCGGCGGGCCCAGGTGCGTCAAACGCGCCCTTATCTTCGTCTTCGCTTGGGGACTGGTGATGATCGCGGCGGTACAGTTTCGCAACGCGGAGAGCAATTTTCGGGAGACGCCGACGGCCGACGAATCGACGGGCGACGCACTGGTGGACGACGTCTATCGGCGCCGGGAGGCCCTGACCCACGATCGCGGCTCCTCCAGCCTCGGCCTTTCCAGATACCTGCTACAAAGGTCCCCGGCGGACTCCAGTTTCTCGAATTCCGGCGGTTCCGGCCTCCTCACGACGCTCACCACCCTGGCCAACGGTCCAACGAAAAATCCCTTGGACTTGGAGCCGCTGCTGGACAAGAGGCCTGCGAAAACCGAGGAGGAGCTGATCCAAGAGATCGAGCAGAGGCTGCCCAGCCTGCCTCTCGCCTACTGGAACAAGAACAGCAAGTACTCCGGCGGGCAGGCCAAGTCCAAGGGCAACGACAGCTGCTCCAGCCTGAAGTACCCGTCGATCTACGACATCGAGTTCAATAACGTGTATTGGCAGACGATGAGGACCAGCAACGGGACGTTCCAGTTCTTCGGCGCGTTTTACGATCGACGGAAGCTGTCCAGGATCGGTCCAGCGATCAGGATCATCGGTATGATCGACAGAATCGAACCCACGGTGAAGACCCATTGCCAATTGTGGTACGACGGAGAAAGGGAACCGAAGGTGGTCGAGACCTTGGAGTACAAGTACATCTGGTACTCAAAGTGGGGCAACTACAAGCAGGGCATTTACCAGCCCTACGTGATAGCGTGCAAGGTGCCGCAGTCCCACTGGCTGAAAGGTGCCCCAGCCTCCGTGTCCATGGTCGAGAAGCCTTGCGACATCGCCAGCAACAATCTGAGGGTGATCTACAACAAACCGGAACGCAAGAAAGACTTCGCGGTTTGCGTGAAAGGCCTGGACTTTCTTCACGAGGACCTGTCCGTCAGGCTGGTCGAGTGGATCGAGCTGATCACTTTGCTGGGCGCGGACAAGATCTTCTTCTACCAGCTCCAGGTGCACCCGAACGTGACCAAGGTTCTCGATCACTATCAGAGGCTGGGCAAGGTGCACGTGACTCCGCTCACGTTGCCCGGCGGGCAACCGAACGTGCCCGCGTTCCAGCACATGTATCTGACCAAGAAGACCAACCACAAGAGGCAGAACGAGCTCATCCCCTACAACGACTGTCTCTACAAGCACATGTACGAGTACGAGTACATCGCGCTCCTGGACGTGGACGAGGTGATCATGCCGGTACAGGACGCCACCTGGCAGGACCTGATGAAGAGGGTCCTCGCGAAGGCGTTCAAGATTAGAAACGAGACGCGAGCCTCGTACAACGTTAGGAACGTTTACTTCCTCGACGACCTGCTGCACTCCCATGGCTACTTCAATGACATACCGAAGTGAGTAAGATCTCTCGACTTTCACGTCGACCGGAGTTTATCGGTCGACCGTCCGCGGAAGAAATAAATTCGTGGCCTCCGCGGTTCGCTCCTGCATCCTGCCGTCCTTTACCGAGTTACGCGACGCGTTAACGATCGCTTGGTCGAGTCACTATAGTTTCCTATGCTAAATGCTCATTGATTCGGGACAAAAAACTGCTTCGAAGGCGAGTCGTTAAAGTTCCAAGGATAGTTGCAGTTTGAAAAAATGGGGTCGCGGACCTTGATCTTTGCAATTCCTTTCGTTTAGTCAGAAATTAAATTAAAAATATATAGGGTGTCGGAGGAAGCCCTAATAAACGTATTCAAAAATCGTCCGTTGCGTAACTTAAGTTCGATGCAAGAGCAATAGCAGGTAAAAAGGTTAATAACCGTTTTGTTCTTCGCTTTGGCCAAACGAACCCCGTGTTTCGAAAGTGGGATAAGTTGCACCAGTTGCCAATTACAAGATATTCCTTCTTCGACGTTTCTGTATCATTAAATGTATTAGCAAACTTTGTAATTCCACCTTCGTTTAACGTAACCACACGGTGGAGGCCATCTCTAATAAAATAGCTGGTGAAAATTGCAATTTAATAAACTCCCGAACGCTGTAAGTGGCACTCTCGATTTTGCGAATACATCGCGGGATGAAATAATAAGACGGATTGAACATTGCCGAGAAGAAACTGTACGAAAACATTCGTGCCAGGGCGATAATTACACTAATTTGATAAAAGAAATGCAGTAACGGATTGTATAACGCCTAATAAGACAAAATTATGGAAGAATCTTGGAAAGGGTGTTCTGATATTGCAGAACACACGTTTTCATATGATTCGTGTTTGAAATACGCGCGTTCGATACTAGCGCCACGGTGGTGGTTCACCAGAACTACTCCCTTGGCAACAGCACATTCGGACAAATATGCTTCGCCTTCCTTTTGCTCGGTTCAAATGGGAACCGTGCAAAAGGAGGGTCAAGTGTAGTCACCCTGTCAATAAGTGCCCTCCCATAAATATTACGAATTGCTAATTAAGAAGGAAATTGGCAACCCTCCGTCCAAAATGCATCGTTTGTTCGCAGGTACATGCACATGTTGCAGCACGTGTATCGTTCTAAAAACTTCACGAAGCCAAATCAGTATATCAAGTGCTTCCACAATCCCGAGAGGGTGGTGACGTTGCACAACCATTTTCCGTTGGCCTGTTTGGGGGCTGGATGCACCAGCTACCCCATAGAGACGGAGGATGCTCAGCTGCAGCATTATCGCGCGGACTGCGTAAAATCGTTGAAGAAAACCTGTGTCGAGTACAGGGAGAACAGCCTGTTGGACACGAATATTTGGAAGTACAAGGACCAGCTGATCGAGAGGGTGACTAGGACCCTCGAAACCCTAGGCTTCTTCGGGCCGAGCTAGCGCGAGAAAAGACTTCGTCTAGAGTGTCTGTTGTGTGTTATCGACAAAGCCTTCGACTACTCTTTTCCTTGTTCGTATTTTCCACGGCTCGCTCGTTCTTCGAAACGGTTCAACGCGGAAAGTTTGCTCCCCGAGACGTCGTCGGGCATGCGTTTGCCCCGAGAGGGCGAACGCGAGACGCGGCGGTTCAGTTTCGTCGCTTTGATCGAAATTGGCTATATTTTTTGGCTTTTCTCCGGAGAGAAGCTCGAGAGGTTCTCGATCCTTTGATAGAAATGTACGAGGTGTCTAAAAATTTTTGGGGCACAAATAGTCAGCCCCTGAAAGCTACTTGCTCAACGGCGGGTGATGCCACTAAGTGCCTCCTCTTGGTTGTACCAGGGACTTTCCCTTTTTTAAGATACGTGGGTTAGCCGCGTTTCTAGTTTGCAATTTTGATGAGGCGAAAAATTTCGAATTACAGATTTTTGCACGCATCGTGATAGGTGGAATCTGATCGTATTATGATTCTAAAGATAATCTTTGTTGAAAATTCTTTTCTTTGTCTAATATTTTAATTTTATAAAAGGTGAGTTTGTGATCGTTAACGATGTTTTCGAATTATTTTTCTTTTATCGAACCAAACAAGCTGCGCGTTACTTTTTGACGCGTTCGAAGACGAAAAGGCTGTGCGATGATGATTGGATGGAATGTGTGTCAACGATTAGGATAATTCGTAGGATAGGATAGGATTACGATTTTTCAATTTGTGCCACTTGGAGAATGAAAACGATTGCGCGCAATTGGACTAGACCGGCGCCTTTCGAGAGAATAATGGTAAAAATTGCTCTCGAGTTGAATGCAATTTGCACATCGAATCGTGTCATAAGTCTTTGTACGTTTTATTCGATACGCGTGCAAATAACATTGTTGTTCGTCTAACTTCAAGATAAAGCGGATGTAAACAAGAAATGATCGTGTAATCGATATCTTATTGGCCCGTTCTGTTTTCACTAGGGGTGTGCATTATAGGTTAGGTGCAATATAAAATTCCACGGCAGAGTTTCCTCTAACAAATTATTATAAATATCAGGACTTTCGAAAGGAACTAAAATATTACTGTTTATACATAAATATACAAGACCGTATTTGTATCTATTGGGGGAAAAGCTGTCTGCCATTGTGGCCTTGTCAGAGTTATGTGACTTTATCTTTACGCGAACGAATAACGACTTTGATAACGATCAATAATTATTTTCCAATTGGACGTTCTTATACGATCGATTTAACTCGGAGAATTTATACTCTAATAACCTAGATTCGTTAAATCTGGCGTCTGCCATGACTACTTACGTCGGATCGAGAATTTCCACGGCGAAATCTGCAAAGACTTACGACTCGATACTTTCCATTGAATCAAACGTGTCCAAAAGACTGGCAATCCCGAGACGACGTCCAGAATGTTTTATACGTTGCTCGAGGAGGAATAGTGGCCGCTATTTACGCGAAAATCGAAAGCGACTAGAGTGTCGAATGTTCGCGACGATTCTTTGGATTCGTGCAACGCCACGCCGCGGTCGAAACGAGGTTCGATCTTTTAATCGATGGACGAAGATGCTCGCGAGGATCGCGCGCCATCGTCGTCGTTATCTTTTGCGAGCACTCGACGAACTAAGTGGCTCGTCGCTGACGCCTTAACCTTTTTAGGGACAAATTACTTTCTTTTCCAATAAATGACAATATGACGTCGAGACATCCCATACAGCACGAAATATTACACAAATATCGTAATACCACGGCAGTACGTCTGTGCAATATTGCGATGAGAATATTTGGTAAAACATTCTAGTGACACGAGGGTTGATCGTAAAGTTCCCTATTACGTTAAATTTTTTTTATCGCAATTTCTACAACTGTTAAAGCCCCTGTCTTGAACTCTAGATTAAATGTTTTCTTCACAGTCATCGAGAAGATTTATCTCATCGCGGTACAAGTTTATAAATTCACTCCTAGAGAAAATTAGGTTCTCACTAGGTGCATATGTTGCGTTATAAACAATACACGCAGGAAATTTAAATTTCTTCAAGCATACACAAAATTGTTACCAAGGTAACCTGATTTTTCGATCAATCCTCGTATTATAAAGCGACTAGCATATATTAATAATATATTTTATACAAATTATATATACACATTCTAATCAGTCTGTTTATATGTAAATTAAATACATATACTTCAAATATGAACAGACTGATAGGAAGCAATATAGATAATTTTGAGAAGGTATACTCGGTAGTCTATTAACGAAAAACATTACTGTGATATACATACATAAAATTTTATTCTATAAAAAATACATTGTTAGTTACGTTCGCTTATGCTCACTGCTTTTTATATATGCTACAATTTAAACAATGTCGTTGAAAGTGGCTAAGAATATAATCATTTATCTTCGAAAATTATAAATATGTGTACGTTTACGGAATATTTTGGTTCTTTGTAGGAAAATATTCTTGCAATACTCTGTGCTATATGGGTTGTTCAGATTTAATTGTATTTATTCAGAATTTTAGTGGTTATATCTATCCTGCTGCATTTAATATAAGTAAATTTATAAGGCGAGCGCCACTGTCCCTGAAAAGGTTAGGTCTAACCATTCTTTCGTCCTGGAACAATCGAAAAGCGCCGTATATCGATCGATCGACGACTTCGAATCGATTTATTGAAGGAAAGTTGATACACGACGCTGTCACGACGTTCTCGCGTTACTTTATCGACTACGAGTATGCATTTATCGACGAACGTTGGCACTGTTCAATCGAGCTGCACGACTACATTAGTATTAGTTAGATTTATTTCTTTCTGAAGACTAGAACTCGCGGTATACATAGCGTTTCGGTTTTTACTCTTTCCTCGTAGCGAGCGGAAGAACTCTAAATGGGTTCCTTGTATGTTATCGGGAGATAACGGAAGGGGAAAGCTGATTGTGGGGTTAGGATAAAGAGCGAAGAGGGATGCCGCGTGAAATATGCTGCTGGTCAAAAGTTTGAGATCGTCTTATTCATCCTCGTATTTCTGCTCCCATAACTTAAATTACTATTTATTATCTATAAAAGTATTTAATTTCAAACAGTTTTGAAATTTCCAAAATGTAGTAGGTATAATAAGACGCTATCAGAATTATGTTTGTAGATGTTGAAGACAAGTTTGCTGTGTGGTAATATTTAACACAAACAGGAGGCGTGAAATGACTCTAGATCTATTTGAACAGGAAAAAGTTACTATGGCGTCAGTAAACATTGACATTTCGTCCAATTATATGGTGGACGACTCGTGCGATGTGATAACTTTTTAGAATCTTTTTTATGACCTTGGTTTATTGAAAATATGAAAGAACTAAATCTTTAAAATAAAAAAAGAACCGAGGGAATTCCCGTTGCGTTCCGATCGAACATCTCGCGGTTTATTTTCGACAACTGTTTTGCAGGGCTGTTGAATTGTTCATAACACGATCTGTTTTCGGCGCACCCGTCTGGCGGTCTCGAGTTTATGACAGTAGCGTAATTCGAGTTTACCAAGAACTAGCGACTGCGTTTGTTTCCAAGATCCGAGAGTCTCGCCGGTTTCAGTCACGCATGACGAAAGTTCCTTGTTCCAGGGATGTACCGGTCAGTCGGATCGGAAAGATGCGCAGCGGTCGTGAGCCGAGCCGATTAAGTTCGGTCACGCGCAGCCAGGATGACACGAAATAAATCGCGTCGATGCGGACGGGCTTTGAAATGGTGTGCGTTACGGTCATCCGTCAATTTTTACGTCACAGTTACGCGACTCGCGACGCCAAGCATTAACTTCTGCCGGTCTTCGAGGAAACTTTCGACCATTAACCTCACTTACGTGCTTCGAAATATCTTCATGATAATATTACCACCGGATCGGCGAAGTCCTCCCGGCGAAAACGAGTACAAACACGACCACATTTGGACAACATTTTATTTTACAAATTTGGTTATTTTTTCAACATCAAGATAATCCAAATATGGTCGTGTTTGTACTCATTTTCATCGGGAGGGCCTCGCCAATTCATCGATGAAACTCTCGCAAAGTTATTATGAAAAATATAACAAGGTTTTGTTTCTTCAGTTTTCGTGGGGCACACAATTCGAGACTCGCTCACCGTTGCCCCATCTCGTTCGCCCTCGGTGTTTGCATTCACTTTTCCCGTCTATCCCCGCTTTTAAGCGAACCGGTGTCTTCGATGTTGTCGCTCGAAAGGGAGGATCAACCTCGCGAAACGATGAAAGTACATCCGCGGAATGACCCAAGCTTTCTTCCGTGTCGCACCTTTTCCTTCGTAACTCGAGCGAGCTCTCGCAGTCTCGCTCTGTTCTCTTTAACATGGTGAACCTCGATCGCTTTCTACGCGATACGATCGATCCCGCTCGGCATCGTAGGAAATCATCGACGGACCGTTTTATCCGAAGGCGAGAGCGCGATTGACGTTGCACCATGAATTGAACTTGCATTAACGCGGACAGATCTGTTCTTCGAACGGTATCGTTATATGTAATGTTAGGAGGAATATTTATGCTCACAGTGGGTTTATGCGTTAATCGACCGTTTAGGTTTTATTATACTCTAACGCGCGTATCATTGTCCACGAGGAGCGATTGCAATGATCAGACTGACGACGATATTCCTGTCTAAAACGAACATTTACGCTCGGTTTTGCTATCTACATTTTAATATTTGCACGCTCGTGCGGTGACAATTAGCGATTTACTCGTTGATCTACCGATCACGGGACTCACGTTCATCGAATCGACGCGATATTTGCTTTATTGGGCGACACCGAGCGTTTACGAAGTGCCTAAAATCGTTGGGCGCGAGAAGCGTCTCAGCTCAGTCGACGATCGACCTTTCGTTTTAAATGTACATACACTGAAGAGTCGGTTGGGATAATAATAAAACTATTACAAGAAACACGCACCTCTTCTCCCGTATATCTGCTTTAAGTAGTATGTAACAACCGCCCACCGTCCACCATCCAATAAAAAACAATTAAAAATTCGTAAAATTGCATATTTAGTGCAATACTTCTTAATAACTAAACTATATTCAAACCATCCCGTAGATATATTTGATATACCATCTGAAATATGTCCACAATTAATTTAGATATTTAACAACGTTGTATACAAAAGTTGTAAGTAATGATAGAGATCCATTAGGGCAGTGATAGTACAGACGAGGTATGCGAGTAGACTTTACAATTTACGGACTTTCGTGGCTCAATCTGACTGTCATACCGACCTGAAAATCGGAGGTGATTTTAGCTGTAGTGTTTGCGTAAATGCATGTGAGTTGACTATGGGGAAGAGATTGAAATTCATTTCTGAATCTGTTGGTAATGTTGCGAGTGACACGAAAATGGTAACGGGGCTCTAGAGCCCCATAAAAATGGGCCAAAAAAATACATTGGGTGAAAAGTCTACTCGTATACCCCGTCTGTGCTGATACAAGATACCTTCACTATGGATAGACGATAACTTTTGTGGCATGAGATTATACACGGTCTATAGGATCAAAAATAAGGTCTAGGATAGACAAAGTATTCAACAAAAACGAATTTTTAAGAAAAATTGACGGGCGGTAGGTGCTAAAATTTTTCAACAAAATAAAAAAATATAAAATCGTATTGGAAAAAGTATTTTTGGTTGCGGTTGTCAATTACAATCATTTTTGGTGATCACACATACCCCTGAAATCCCACTCATTTTTGAGAAAAAAATTCATAAATCATATATATGAAAAGTCTTAACACTTTACCGACCGATAGCCTATTAATCGACTGTTTTATCGGTCGACGTTTACCGACCGATAGCCGATTAATCAACCGCTACCGGTCGGTAAAGTGTTAACTCTTGAACGGATTGGATAAATATGCCTTTTTCCTTTTTCTCTCTAATTTGACTTAGAAACTAGCTGCGTGGAACAGTGCTACCACGTTGGTAAGTAAGAGAATGATGATACCACCACATGGCAGAGAGTCATGGCGTCATCTAACGGTAGGTAAAGCGAACTATCTCTTCTACTTTGGGCATATTTTTACAAATCGGGCGATGATGCCTTTCTCTTAGCAATTTCTTCTTTTTTAATACGCTTTGAAATGATATTAGTGCACAATTAACAAAATTACAAGCATAAATGAACACACCAAAAATATTTTGTACTTTGTTTGTATATGCAGTGTTGTTAGAAAATTTAAACATTAAATTATTGTTTATTGATTATGCAAATCCCCGAGACATTTACAGTTCAGAATACCACGAAACCGTAAAACTCGGAGGCCAAAATAATGAATCGTCGGCTCCCAATGGCAAGTAGCTCCTCGTAGAAAATACTTGTAAAATAAAAACGTTTACAAGTGTTAACCACTACGAAACTTATGTCCAGTTTCGCCTCTCCGACGATCCGCGGTTTCCTCCGCAAGAAGATGGCTCGACCGTGAATGCGAAAACAAACGATCCGACGCCTTAGTAAACAACGAACCGGCCGTATAGTCCAGAATAGTAATCGAAGACCAGGAAATCGTGCTCGTCTGTCTGGACGACGTAGGTGGACGCCTCGAAATGAAATTTCGTCGGCGGCAGAGGTAGGATAAATTTGGAACAGCCATCTCGAACGAAACACGCCTTGTATTTTACGTTTCCGCGGCAGTTTCGCGTCGAGGATCGTTTCTCGAGCGTCGCGACGTAAAACCGGACGAACGACGGTGCACGTTTTCATCGAGTAAATAGTCTACGAACGATCGATGAAAAAATCGTAAATTCCCGCGGGATAATATGAAATTATCTTCCTTTTTCGTCGCCATTACGCCTCTCTATCGCGAACTATATATAATATCACGGGAATTAAAATACTGAAACACGTAACGGGCAAAGTATCATCGAAAATGTTGTTATCGAAACCTAACGCGTATTACAAGGCTGCAAAATGTCAGGGTGAACGAGATACCGCGAGTCGTCACGCGTCGAAATCAATTTTCGATTCGGATTGAAAATTCGGATCGCGTGCACGTGTCCATTTTCTCGCGGCAAGAAGCATCGACGGGTTCGAGGTTTAGTGCCGGACGGCGGAAACTAGGATGCCACGCTCGCGACAGGAAACGTTGGACGCGATGATCGAGATCGAGGAACCCTCCAAGTGCATCAAGTTTCTTCGTTTCTTCTGGAAATTCTTCAGATGCGTTTTCTCCCACGTGTTCCTCATCTCGCTGGTCGTGTTATACTGTTTGATCGGTGCGTACGCCTTCGAGGCGCTCGAGGCTGGCCACGAGAAGGAGGTTCGAGCATTAAACATTTATGCACCTGTTGTTGTTCGTACTCGAACGTAAAACGATCGTGAGAGACGAATACCAACGACGCCATTTGCAGAACAATTAAGATAGCTGAGCGTCGAACGGGACTGGACAGACGCGATCGCACACAGTGATCTTAAGATCGATACTTTATTTTTAATTTTGATTGAAAATTTTTTGTCCTGTTCAGATTTATTTTCTTCAACATCTCATAGCAAGAATTAATTATTTTATACAATATTTACAGTATGTACGAACGCAATATTTATGAAAATGATCGTTTGTTCCCCAATGTGCAGATAAAGAAAAGTATCAAGGACATCAGGGGAAACGTGGCGGAGCAACTATGGAAGATCACCAAGGAAGTCGAAGTATTGATTCGCGAAAATTGGACAGACAAGGCACTGCGCGAATTGAAGGTACGTTTGAACACGTGGAAACCAAAAATAGCAATTTGAATTTCTTTGTTCGATCAGAGTTATCGATTCGTGTTTCTTCCAGAACTTCGAGAGCAAGCTTGTGTGGACGATGGAGAAGGAGGGGTGGGACGGCAGGGAGGGTGAAGATGAAATTCAATGGACGTTCGCTGGTGCTCTGTTTTACTCCATCGTGGTCATCACAACAATTGGTAAATTCTGTTTTTACCAACGCTATCAATGGAAACAAGAGAAACGTGGCTCGTGTACAAGTATCGAGGTTCCACTGTATACGATCTTCATCAATGTAATTAATTTTATTTATTTGATTTTTCATACCCAGGGCTCATTAGTTGATTCGTCGAAGACATTTGGAAGGTGTAGTGTCTTTTTATTTATTCATTAACAGAGCAATGGTCTCTGATATTTGTACAGTTCTCTCGTAGTGAAAATACTTGGGTCGTCTTTGGTATTTTCTTTGCAAAACTTAGGGTTTCTTCGATTAAACTAAACTTAGCCCTCACGTAAGATCAGAAGTTGTCATAATTTCTTGGAAACTACTGAAATGACCAGATAAATAAAAATTAACGTAACTATGCTCGAACTAAGACGAGCTCGACTCGGTTTCCGTTTGGTTCTTCTTCGAAGATCGACCGTAGACATCGTCGAAGTCGTCGTAGTCGTAATTCTGGTCGTAATCGTAACTCTGGTCGTAAGGTTTGCTCTGAGGTCTCCGATAAGGGTTGCCGTTGGGTCTTTGATAGGGGTTGCTGTTGGGTTTTGGATAGAAGTTCACGTTCTCCCCTAGGAAATAGTAATTCCCAGCGTTGAAGCTTACTTGGGGCCTTCGATTACCGTTATAATTTGGCGGCTGCGTCAAAGTCACCGGTCCATACTTATTGGGTGGACTCTGGAGCACAATAACAACAAAAATATATATTTTTTAACGCGTCAGTTAATTTTGTTTAAAAACTGAAACCAACCTGGTACGATGGGAGCCGCTCTACTCCAGGTGGCCTAAGAACCAACGCTGGGTACTTTTTGCTGCTGAAGCAGCAATAATTCTTGTCCTTCGAGCAAGATCCCTATGAAAACAAAATCGTTGAAACGATCAGAAATAAAAAAGATTTAATTGTAAATTTATTTCTGCCCCTGTATAATGTTGATACTCACAAACTGTAGTCCGAAGGATGGACAATCGAAGCTGTATCTGCATCTACAGCTGTCATATTCTTGATATCGAGGGTCGTTTTTGATCCATGGGGGTACATAACCAACATTCAAAGCGCCATCGTCGATAACTCCATTATAGGGTGGCCTGATAGATTAAAAATACATTTGAAATCCTTCATCTCAATTAATTCCATCGTCATATCGTATTTCTCTCGTAACGAAAACATCAATTCTATTCCAATCAAAAGAAAATTTCCGTAACTAATTAATTTTGTATAATTTCGACGTTTCACGTTTAATAACCAGCATTCTTCAGATTTCTGCGCTACGTTAGCAATGCTTAGGATATAATAGCGGAGAAATTATCGTAGAAATTTAGCAAAAAATTTGAAAGAAAGAAGGCTAATTAAATGGTACCGAAGTATCAAATGATTTATTGAAAATTTAGATACAATGAACTGTAATAGAGCCATCGAAAGAATCGTCTTGGGTGACCCCCTTTATTGAAGACCCCTTCCTCTCTTTGGCTGATGCCTTGGGCGCTCAGAGTTAGCGTTCAATGAAAGTAGTGACGGGTTTGAGTATTTCGCGTGAATTTTTGTTTGCACGACTACTATTTAGATTCAATGAATCTTAGCTCTCAAATTTATAATGTTGTTCATATCGGTAGCAATCTCTGAAACGTTCGTCCATTGTTTTGAATAAAAATAGCATAACCTGCGGTGTTGTACGACAACCAAGAGACCCTAAAATGCTTCGAATACTTCGCTACGAGCGTCCTGTATAGCAAAAGCAAGGCAGGAAGTGGAAGTTCTCGTTTCAGGAATTTTTTCCCACCTGTCGTAGTCGGTTCCCTCGTCGACGGCGACGTTCGAAGAAAAGTCCGATATTTAAAATGATTTAACAGGAATATTTCGGTAATAAGAGTTTTATAAGGTCGGTGAACACGGAACGCGAAACGTCGAAACAAAATTATTGGGTCGGAATAGAATGAGAAGATACGAATACCTTTTTACAATGGCCGTTGGTCCACCAGGACCGACAAGAACCTCTTTGTTGCCAGGATACGTTGCTGGCACAATGGGTCTACTGTGAGGACCGTAAGGTCCAGGATTTTGTGGTCTAAATCCTGTAAAAGGCCGGCCGTTGTCCAAATCTTCCAGGTTCTCGTTTACCTGGTACCTATAACTTGACCACACAAACAATCCACCTTTTGTCATACAAAACATACAGCACCAAACTTCAGTAATACTCGACGATATTTTCATTTACACTTGGCTTGTTAATTACTTGAGAATTTTTCATCTCGAATAGAAATTGAACATTGTTAATTTTTATAAGTACACCATATGGAAATTGTAAATAAATCAATGACCATGCTAAGTCAGGAATGCAATACCCCCGCTTGTATCAGGATTAGACCCTCTAGCGTGTAACCTACTCTATCAGCTTTAACTATGATACAAGATCAACTTGCTTGAGGTTACTGTTCGTGGACCTCCTGCTGGCCATGATTCACCGAAGCATTAGACTGATATCTGTCCTAGTATGCCGGGTTTCTGTTAATTGGGATATATCAGGACCAAGATATTTTGGCCTAATTGAGACCAGTTGCTCGTAGACGATCAGCTTAACAAATTTGCGCATTATAATCGTAAGGATTCAGGTTATAATTAATATCTAGTGATTAGTCGTTCTTGTTAACTACTAAAGATGGCCCAAAATATATGCTACACCTGGTAGAAATAAATTACAGAGTAAATTGTAATCTTCGTGTAAAAATGAATGAAAAATGTGTGCTGCAATTTTTTCATTCGAGGCTTTGCTTTCGAGAAAATCGATTTTTAATGTTTTTGGGGCACGTGCACGTTCGAGTGTCTGACCATTCCTCGATACCTCTACTTAAAGTCGATCTTCGTGTGCATCGATGAAGCAGAAACAGAGTAATTTAAGTAGAATCAGAGGATAATGGTCCGACGCGTCAACCATACCATATAGATACTTACGAGCGCGCCAAACATTTTCAAACTCAATTTTCTCCAGAACGAAGCCTCGTATGAAAAAGTTTCATCCCACATTTTCCATTTACTTTTAAACGAAGATTCGAATTCACGCTTCGGATTATGTCTACCGGGTGAAAATTTGAAACAGTGCGTACCTTCCTATACCGAGTCTGCTGTTCTGTGTGTTGTCCTTCCAAACCCATTCGTCGCTTTCGGAGCCCACCGTGACAACGGTGATGCAACAGGCGAGGATCAAGGACCTCATGCTGGACAAAATTCGGATCGAACGATAACCGATAAAATCAACGCGCAGCAATTTATTCGAATAATTAAATTTCCATCTAAAATTGAAAATCAGTTTTATTTTGTTAAAATTGGTGCCCGTCCGTCGTGAGTTTTAATTTAATTTTTACTCGACGAGTGACTGGAACTCGATGTTTATTTTTCGTTTCGTTTCTATTCAAACGGGACTTTTGCCCACGTTTGGGCGCCGATCGTGAACGTTCGCGAGGGTGGCTGAGATTCCGCGATAGTGGCCGAGATTCCGTGGTAGCCTGTCGGTCAGCAGGCGCCGAATATCACCGGCGCACGACTAAACGCGAGGGAAAGTGAATCGCGTCTTTATATATGCACCGTTGGAAGGTGAACGCACCGCCGGGCGAGGCTCGAGGTCCCTTCGATAGCGATCTCGGATCAACAGTTTTCGTCAGGGGTGATTCACCCTTGAAACGGCTCGCTCTGAGGCCAGTTTCGGTCACTGGAGTAGAGAAAGTCGGAGGAACACTTGCCAATACTGCAGAATACTTGCCAAAACCGTAATAACCTAATAGCGTAGCAGCAACGGATTTAATCTCCCTTTTCAAGATCATGGACCCTTGGCACCAGGAGCCATTTTAACACCCCAGATTCATTCTATTTATCATTCGTATTGCCCTCTATTATTCCGTGCAAACGGCAGCATAAATCGTAGACACTTATACGAGGAAGTCAACATTCTATTTGATCAATAGTATATTTTGGGGTATATTTAGTATTTTATTTTTTAGTCTACAATTTAACAGACTTTAAAATGTGTAAACCACTGTCTCAGGACAACAGAAGACACAGGCATTCGTAGTGATACGTGGGTGGCGATTATACGAGAAACAGCTCTTTCTCGGACTTGTCCTTCGGTCTGGGAAAATCCGTAGTTCGGAGAAGGGGAGATCAACCTATCGCAGGTGATTCTTTGGCCTCTTTCTTTGTATAAAATCAAGCGAAATGCCGTCACACGAAGGACGCCCAGATCAGGACTCAACAATGACAATTTCTTTCGTTGTATCTGTGATTTCTTGTAGCACAAGAAACATAAACATAGACTTTATTTACGTACATGTCGGATGATAGTGTAGAAAACAATTCGCCATATTTTTACAATATTCAATTTTGAGAAAAAGTTTGTCCACCCAATAGTTCGGATGATAAACGAGTTTCTATGCAACACGATTGTGGAAAAGTTAATCGAGAGAACCAGCTAGCAACACGACGAACGTTAAAATCGAGGAAACCGAATTACTATGGGGTTGGAGGGGTGGGGGGGGCTCGTGACATCCTCTCTCGCGGAAGAAAAGTGAATTTCCACGATGGCCAGAGTAGCAGCGCCAGTGAGAATGACCTTGATCATTGAATTTTCTTTCAAAGGGAACGTTTGATCGTGCCTTCTTCCCCGAAATAAAATTATACGAGGACGATCCAAGTGGCCATTTCCTTCGCTCAAAGATTTCGTCTCGAAACCGACCCCTGATACGATTTCCTTTGTCTTTCGCGATAGCACACGATACAAGGGAACAGTGTTGCCATCTATAATCGATTTATCGAACGGATAGGAACCCACCGTCGTACACAGAATTCTTTCTCAATTCTGCGTTCTCGATTCATACATAATAAATATAGATATAGTAAATCTTCAATATAAACTGAACTTATATTTTTCATTATACGTTCATAATAATATTACTAACACATTGGTGAGGTTCTCCCAATGAGAATGAGTACAAACACGACTATATTTGGACAGAATTTAATTTTTCAAATTTGGAAAATTTTTACAACGATTCGAGTAACATAGAATCAAAAATCATCCGAATAGGGTCGTGTTTGTACTCATTTTTATCGGGAAAACCTTCCGAATCCATCGATGAAACTCTCACAAGGTTTTATTTCTTCAGTTTTCGTGGGACACGTAACTCGAAGACTCGTTCCCTTTCTGCTCGCAACAATGCAATTAAAAAATGTAAGGGGCAAAAAGGTAGCGTCTATTGTCGATTTCGATGAAATGCAACCCGGTTTGCTTGACTCCGTCGTACCAGAGTACGCTGAAAAAGGGGTTCAAATTGTATAGCCTTTCAAGAAACTCTTTGAACCAAATACGCGCCCGGCGAAATCGAAGAGTTGCAGATTCTATCGTCGCGGATACGTATCGCGAGCTGGTTTGAAATTTGCTCGAGCAGCCTTATCGCGGACACAAGGAGAATCGTTGAAACGGAGATCCCCGACGCGTGACCGAGTTGCGTTCCGAAATCAAGCTGCCCGCTCGGACATCCGCTCCCCTTTTGTGTTCGATCGATCCTTCTCCTCGTCCGCCGGATGCAGTTCGTCTCGTCCCTTTTTCAGCGATCCCTTTTTCGAATCGTTAAGGAGCCTGTTCGCAAAGCAACACTGGTGTACTCCCTTCCTTTCACGCGTGAACAATATCACACCGGAAGGAGCGTGGGGATGCTCGAAAAATTGGCATTGTCACACAATATTGAACTCGATTCTCTATAGAGGGTGGCTCGAATATACACGATCGTATTTCAGGGGGGTGTGAATCGAAACTCGAGTTTGAACTGTCGAGAAAACGACGACTTTGGACGGTCCCAAAGCTGCGTGTCACGCAACTAGGAATCGAGGGTCGAAACGTAGGAGTATGCTAATCGCAAGAGAACTGTTCGAAGGTGGAATCTCGACGACCTTGACCCACACTCGAGGATGAATCTTCGAGATGGCGGATGTTGATTCAAGGTCGTTGCGAAATCGCTGCAATTTGAACCGATCTCCCGAATGTTAACCTTCGAGTTTGTTCGCATAATGATTTGGACGCTAACCTTGGTCTTCATACATTTATCTTACATTAGTATGACTTGCTCGTAAAAGATACTTAAGAAATATACAGAAAGGGGAATTAATTTAGTAAACACAGAGCGATTGATTATCGGTTTTTAAACAAGCTATTTTAATTTTTCGCTATATAAATCGATTCAGATTTTTTGTTATTAAAAGAGTCCGAGTAAAATTTGAGTCCCAGACCCGAAACTCGAGTCTCCGCGGGAAATTAATTGCTCGTTACGCAAGCGGTAAATTAGGTAAAGGCTAATCGAGCGTTTCGCGCCGCCAGGTTACGGTCACATCGCTCCGAAGACCAAGAACGGGAAAGTTGTGACCATATTCTACGCCATCCTGGGGATTCCCCTGATGTTGCTCTGCCTCTCTAACATCGGCGACATCATGGCGTCGAGTTTCAGGTAATTGATCCTCCGGGATGCGACTCCAAAATGTTAAATTTTTTATTTCAAACGCATCACTTTGCTTCTGCCAAGTATCTCCAACGCTGTGCACCGTGTTTCTAGATTTTTGTACTGGAGAGTCTGCTGCTACGTGTGCACGAAACCACCCAAGAGGAGGCGACCGAGGCACAGTATGGGCAGATCGTATTCCGTGCGACAATCGGGGTAATTGTTTCGTAATTAAAGTAAACTGAAATTCAGCTATGCATAATAAAAGTGAAACTTTTGGAAGACGGTACGGTACGAATAGAGGAGCTTTTCGTCGGTCCATAAGGATGAGCCAGAGGTCCGCAGACTCAGCCCTGGGCCTATCGGAATGTATGACGAGGTCCTCGTACTCCGACACCGATTGCAAGTACGCCATCTTAATTTTGCTTTTTATTCGATATTCTCCTGTTTCATTTTGTAGTAACAAAAGAATTCCCCTCCCCCCTCCTGAATAACGTGTCTTGTTTTGTTTTAAATGGAGGTACAATGCTCGACGGTTCGAGGACATGGAGCAGAGAAGGCCGAGTATCTACCAGCCGCCAGGGAATCAGAATTTGGGATTCAAGTCCGCGACGGTTTATCGATACTCGGATTTACCAGTGGAGGCTTCGAGGACTAGAGGTATCTGAACCTTTGAACTAACTCGTTTGAAAAGGAAACCGCTGATTCTAAGTGACGGTACATTCAGCTAGTCCCAAGATGACGACGCAATCGTTGGACAGAAGGCTGATAATGAATCGTTCCCCCAACGATACGGATCGTTCCGCGGTTTTGTGCAACAGATACGCCTTGGACGAGCTGCAAGACGAGTTAAAACGGTGGCAGGCTACCGCTGGAGACAGATGTAAATTACTTTAAACCGACTATTCTCTCAAAATTCGCCACTCGATCAGCGATAGCTGTATCTTTACTGTCGTTTGCCCGTTAGCGGTAGCCGATACGAGCAAATCGCATGACAAAGACACGGAACCAATCGCAGAGAGTACCAACAAAGCCGAGAAACAACCTTCATTCACCACGAGGCCCTTGCCCAGGAGGTGTTTGTCGGTCGAGGGGGCCACCACGAATTACAAAGCGACGCCAGGCCCGCCATTGCGACTGCCCTCGGCGTATCTGGAAATGGAAAACCTGAGGAGATCTCAATCCAACAGGACCAGACGTTACAGGAGCAATTATCCTGTTGGTAAGCATGTTCTTTCGTCTCGTTTGGGCCTGTTAGTTCATCTAACCACCTTTTCAGCGCGATCTTACAGACGGGATCAGTTGCCAGCGGACATGATGCCCCCGCCGGGATTCCCCGTTCACAGGCAAGTTTATGTCGATGACTTCGATTCCGATTACGAGTATTATACCACGGACGATCAAGACAGACAGCCGATAAAGCCCGTACCAATTTGGCTGTGCGTGTTCCTGGTGGTCAGCTACATATTCGGGGGTGCGTTTCTCTTCAGCGCCTGGGAACAATGGCCGTTCCTCGATTCAGCATACTTTTGCTTCATCACCCTAACCACCATCGGTGAGTCGTACACTTTGATAACTTTGTTGGGTAGTGTAAAATCGTGATAAATGAGGGATATTCCGGTACGCAATGATAGGCTAGTGTGTTTACCTGTTTGACCAACCTCTTCAAACATTAGGAAGACACCTCAAACTGTTAGGTTATGTCGAAGAATTTAATGGGGCTGCAAACCTCGAACGTCTGACAGCAAATACAGTCACCTCAAATAACTCGCAATAGTATGCTAGAGTGTATATCTGTTAACCAACCACTTCAAAGTTTTAGTAGGTCTAGATTGCACATCTTTATTCCTGTTTCGAACGTTTATACTGCTCAGATATTTAAAGAAGCGTATACCACCGAGGTCGTAGAATATTTCTACGTTCGAAACGTTTGATCCGTGGGACACGAATGGCTGCAACTGTTTGTTTTATGAATTTTCTGGTGGTCTTGCAACGAGCACAGGGGGATTAGAGTCGTATGCCGTCGTTGGAGACGGTCAATGACGGTCGAGGGCCGTAAGAAAGTCGAGGATTTACGGTGTTTCAGGATTCGGGGATTTCGTGCCGGCGTACAAGCTCGACGCGCACAGAGGGATCGCGGTTTGCTCGTTGTACTTGTTATTTGGAATTGCTTTGCTGGCGATGAGCTTCAATCTGGTGCAAGAGGAGGTCATCAACAATGTGAAGAACGTCGCCAAGAGGCTCGGGATCATCAAAGAGAGTGACGACGAGGAAGATGCCGACGACTACGACGCGTACGACGCTGAATACAACGACGAGGTCGACAACGAGCTCGAGGGCTACGCCCTCGATGCTCCTCGATGTCACTCGATGGCGAGAAACGTTCGCGGAATGTCCATCGCGTAGCTCACCGTGTTCAAAATACCTCTGTTTTTTACCAACAATTCACAGTCAACGTTCTACGTTTCGTCGACCCGCGAATGCGTCGCTGTATTTACATTAAACATAGCGATGTACTCGTTTAATTGGGTTTAACTGCATCGAAGTCAACGGAAGAGTTCGACTCCTCTTTGACTTGAGCCGCTCTTCCACGTAGATGGCGCGGCGGTCGTGTAACCGACGTCAGCCGCCTGGAGAGCGCGCTGCGATCGCGCTTAAGGTTAGACAAACAGGCGACAGTTAAGCGGGTCAGGTGTACCGTACTTCAAACGATGTGGTTATTAAACAATGTTAGTTTTATTCGATTTTTTATCAATACTATTACCAATTACTCGTCGATAGGGTCCGCGCGATATGCTCAATCCCATCGCTACTTCCATTATAAGAGAGAGGGGAGGGTTCCCCTCAACAGTGCAACTGACGGTGGGTCTCCCAACTCAATTATTTCGTTGACTCCGCTGTAAACGGGTAGAAGCTAGTTGTGGAAATTGTATATTGAAATAAAAAGATTAGCTCGAAAGTTTCGTAAAAAGATTTAGGAACTTCTGGATGAACTTTGATCCGGGGTAGATCTCGAGAGCTGAATATCTCGTTACGATTCAACGTTAATTCAGTTAATTCTTTACCCCGGGGAATCGATCTCTCAAACATTTTATATTATCTTACTTTCATTATCAAGTTTGAATCCCCATCTAAATTTCTCGAAAATTTACCATCAAAACTCCAAGGAACCCCATGACGTCTGCTATCGAGGCGGGTCAAAAACACCTAAGGACGACCAAGGGGTGTCTCGTTCGACGCGTGATCGATTTCCAAGGCGCGTAGCCCTCTTCTTGGACGGTTCCCGCGTCTAACGGGTGTCCAGGAAGTCGGAAGTTGGTCAGGGACGGGCAGCTTGGATCCAGTTATTTTTAGCGCCGCGCTATTTTCAGTGTGTCGAACGAAGTGGCACGGAATCAGTGCACGAGGGAGCCTCGAGGAAGCGGCTCGTTCGCACGCAATTATCCGTAGCGATCGCGAACGTGCTCTTCGGGAAACAAGTCGAAAGACTTCTCGATACGATATTCCGTGTGTCGAATCCTGTAATTCAAGTGCAATCGCGATCGTCGGAAGATTCCTTAAGTTCCCAAACGAGACTCGATTCATGGTGTCCGGGAACTTCTCGGTTGCAAGACGTTCCTCCGGTTTCCTGGATTACGCGCGACTGAATCGTACCGTCGTGCAGCGTATGAACGATTCTCCGGGAAGGCGTCGCATGACAGGGGGAAGATGATCTACAAGAAGAAACGCGGACGCGTCTGGTGGAGGCCGGGAGCGTGCAGCACGCGCCAACACGTGGCGGGTTGTCGCGATAGAGCGTCGTCCAACGCCGGCGGAGACATAAACGCGATCTATGTTTAGATCGTCGGATGGCCGCGGGGGAAAATCTTTAACGTCGAAATTCGGGAACGTGTCGCGAGCCGCGTGGGACGAGATCCTGGAAACGATCGGTCAGCTCGTTCCAAGAAAACTCGGAAATTTTTTCGTCCCGCGATAGGTTAGGTCTCGGTTTAGGACGAAATTTCTAACAATAGGTTGGGTTAAGCGTTTCCGATTCCCCGACCGCCGCGAAGTCGATACCAGAACCCTCGATAGTTCTCGATATAATTCAGGGAGGCAGAAAGGATACGACGTTTTCCATTAAACGCGCCACTGTAATTTTCTGTTGCGCCGGGTCACCGATCCCGTATAATCCGCGTCCCCTTTTTAGCATTCCGTCGCGTCTTTCTATCGACTTGGCTGGGAGAAGGAAGCCCGTCGAGCCTTTTACCTGGCAGAAATTGGCCCCCGAGACGGAAGATTTATCGGTTTCGAGTTACGCGGTCAGGTAAGGCATAGACGTTTCCGTTCGAACCTGCTGGGAGCGTGTGCGACCAGGCTGTTTCTTTTATGACGCTACCGAAAATACTTTCGCGAGGCTGCACCGGTGAGCTTTAACCCCTCGACGCGGATCTTTGTGTCTTTCATACCGGGTTGCGTCCATTGTGCGGCCGTTAGGGGAGACGCGGTCAAAGTGACGCGGGACAATCGTCGAATAATTCAAAATCTATCGATTCTCGCAATATTCGCGTACAGTCGCCTCCGAAAATTAGCTAACCTAAAATCTTAAATGATATAATACGAGTTTCATACTTTGAAAAATACAAACGGAACTACAATTTTATTTTATCCAGATACATGGACAGAAGCAAATGCAAAAATAAATTAACGCCTTAAAATCTATATAAAATCTATATCAATATTTTGCTTCTCATTCAGCGCCATAGTCCCAACGAAGTATAAAATTGTTTGTTATTTTTCTTCTTCGTAAACACTACGTAATAAATAATTTGCACGTTCTTCGAATCGCGCTCGTTCTATTCTTATTTTTGATATTTATTTTTCAAGCACGGTGTTCGTTACTTTGGAGCTTTTATACGTGCTGGATGTAATAACCATAATATACAAAATGGTTGCAGAGGTTCGGTTGCTATTACAGTTTAAACGCGCGCGCGCGCGCGTTATACGAGGGTTTCACGCGCCTTAAATTTTCATCGCGAGCCTCGCGTGTCCCCATTAAGTCGACAAGAATTCATTCGTCACGCATGAAACTTTGAAGTTGGAGTTCTTCCCGCCGTGCAACGTTTGCCTTTACGATCCCCGTACGTTACTCGGCGAATTGGGCTGCAGGAACGAGCCGCCATTTGCCAAAATCTACTTACCCTAACCTCTATACATATATCGTGCCTTTCATTGGTCCCTGGTCGAACACCTTTCAGAACAATAGTCTCAAGCATGCTGTAATTGTGTTTTGCAGTTCACTCATTCTAGATGCGAGAAAGAAATAAAATACAGGAGGCTATTGTCGATCACTCAATAAATAATATTAAAAAAATAGAAAACTCAAATTACCTCTTTCCGACTACTCATTTAAAAGTGTCAATATTTATGGGACCGATCAATTATCGAATCAGTTAATTTACCCTACCTCCCAGCAGGATGAGAATCGGGGACCGTGTCAAGGGGGTTTCGAAATATGTATCTTGGTAATTTTAGACCGTAAAGCTAGCGCCAAGAAGAAGGAGAATGGATGTGCTTCGTCGAGGAACGTTTCTGAATATTGAAGGAGAGGCAGAAGCGAAGGAAACGACGTAAGGTATCGAAGAAAAGGCTCGGGTGTATCTCGAGGACTCGGATGGTGGATGAAAGATGGAAGGGGATCGGCCATCGTATTCGTATTCGAGCAGAAACTGGCAGCGTGGAAGTTATCGCGGCCGGAGCGGAAGAAGAAGAAAACGAAGACGGAGATCGTGGGGCGAGAGGATAGCGGACTGGACCAGGACTCTGATAGCCTTCCTCTTCAGCAACGTCGGTATAGTGTGTCTGGTGATCGGGTACACTATAGCAGGCGCCTTCCTCTTCACCCACATCGAGGGCAGAAACAGCCTGGACGTCGCCGGAGACGTGATCAGGCTGAGAAACATGACGGCTGCCACCCTCTGGGAACTCACTTCCAAGGTGACGAGTTTCTTTTTCCTCTCTGATTTTTTAGACTCTAGTGCATTAACAGATTCTCAATTAAAAAAAGAGTACTTGTTTTGGAAAAAAATTGTCAACGACCAGTATGTATAAAATGGCGATTTTATGGGGGGGGGGTCAATAAGGCCTTTGCATTCGTCTCTTGCGTTCACTTTAAACCATTCAGGAGGGTTAAGTCGGATTTAGTTTGGGGTATTATTGTCTTGCCACGGTTCTAGTTTCTGTATATGAATTTCCTTGCATCTAATCTTTGCTGGAAACAGGTCGGTATTACTGGCGTTCACGTTCGTCCGTCTGTTTGCTCAGGAGAACGTGTTCTCCGAGAGGATCTGGAAGGCGAAAGTGCGAGCAATTCTAGAGAACTATCAGAGGAAAATGGTAACGGCCATAAAGAACGGCTACGACGGGGCGGAGGAGAACAAGAGATGGAGCTTCGCGGGAGCGTTTCTCTACTCCCTCACAGTAATCACCACGATCGGTGAGTTTGCCACCCTTTTGTTCCGTCCCTTTCTATCAATGTCCCGGGAGTAACTCGAATAGTCCCCGACGCGTCATATCTCTGGCGTTTTTGTGACTTTTTTCATTCTCACGATTCAATTGAGAGAGAGAATTTTATACGAAAATAAAGTGGAGATAAACCGTAACGAATCTCCGCGAAGAGCGAGGAATTTAAGACTGGTCGCCTGGATGACTCGGATAGTTTTTAAAATAGAAAAGAATATTTGAGGTGCCGGTTGCTTGGTCTCTCGGGAGACATAGCGAAGAAGAATTGTATAATTATATATACCAGAAATAGGATCCAAGTATTCCCCGTCTCAAATGTTAAGCGCAAACTCCGTTGTTCGATCTTTATTTACTTGAACAATCGTGTTATCGAGGCTTATGGTCGCTTATAATTTGCCAATCATTCTAAATATCATCAAAATCTTCGAGGGAACCCAGGAATCCCCCTGTAAGTTCAAACGTTAGTTCCTCGCGTCACCGACAGAGAGCAGCAGCTAGTCGCCGCCATTTTCTTAGGCTTGACGCTCGCCTGTTCCAGGATCTGCCTAATTGAGGCCCCTCGAATAGACTCAAATTTTGTTTCAAACCACGAAACTTTGAATTGCGTATTTTTAGAGCCACTCGATTCGATGGATTCAGAACTTCTTAAATTGTATTTTGAGATTTGAACGGTTAACAGCCTTTGAAGAGGTTATCGAGAACGGTTTAGACGTCGCGAGCCGAGCGAGAGAGAGATTTCTGGCGATAATGAAGAAATTTCGAAATTTAATCAGTGCCGGACGACAGTTTCGCATTTCCTCGATATCGAATCGCCGCGATGCTGGCTCTGTATCGGTCTGGAAAATTACTTTTGCGCACAGACGACAGCCGACAAGCTGTGAATCATACGCGGGGGACTTCGTTAGCCCGGAAATTAATTATCGGCCGAGCCGAGACCCGTCGATCGGTCGACCTCCTGAGATTAACGAAGCTACTCCGGAGGACGTTGATCTTAATCGATCTTCCTATTGACACTGTGTATCGTCGCCGATTAATTAATCCGCCCCGGGGCCGATATTCGTTATCAAAGATCGAAACGTTACTGACAAGTGCTTTTTTCCAGAATTATATTCACCGTTAATTCTGGTCACCACGTAAATTGCAGTTAAGGGAATATGGTCGCTTGGTTCTGATCTTCAGGAAAACCAAACGTCACGATCGTGGTCTAGAATAGATCGAAATGTTGGTGGTACTAGAACAGAGGTTATATCACCAACGATCCTTTATTAACTAATGATTAATTTATTAGTAAAATGATACCTACTACTCTAGAGATAGTGTTCTCTGCTCTAAAGACCACGACCCCTTCTAGAGATCGTCTCCTTTGCTCTAAAAGTCACACTACCGTGAAATGCACCCGGTTAAATGATCGCTATTATTTGAAAAATGCTGTAGGTTCTTCATACGATTCCCAATTAAGATTTACTCAACGTCTACCGTAAGAAACAAGCAGTCATCGGTTCGCGCTGATTGTCCTTGAGAAACGCGGTCAACGACGCTGAATCGGAAATTAATTGACTCATATTCCCGGCGACCTCGGAAGATCATCGAGCGAAAGTTGGTATCGGAAGAAGTCGATTTACTGCCGTCGAAAATTCTGTATTTGGTCGACAGTGACAGGACCGTCCGAATTGTCCCTGAAACTAAAATCCACCTATAGACGAAATATTCTTATTTGCAACCTAAAATTTATTTAGCTCTCTAGTCAATGAAGCTAATTATTGGCTTTAATTAGTTTTACAAAAGTGGATACCTAAAATACATCTTGTATCCCTGTTTTAATTGGATGCTACGGGTTCCAAAGGTTTGCAAATTACGTTTGCGTTTAAAACGACCCGTACGCGTGACGGGACGTGTTTCCCCAGACGTTAATGTCAACAATTGATTTACAACGTTCGACACGGTCGGTGATCCTGATCTTGGAGTATTTTTACCGTGTACTCCATCCCTTGCCAACAGTTCGGTCAGAATAATAGACTGACGTAACTTTGCGGGCTTAGCGTGCAGTCTGTGTACCCAAATGATCGAACGTTGCGCAATTCGTATAACGAGTAACAAACTCGTAAGTAAACTTGGGGCAAAATTTCTCGTGTAAACCGGTCTGCGTCGTTATCGATTCCAACCTTCGAATTGGACCGACAATGGGCAACGGTTTGCTTGCTTTTAGGGCTAATTAACGCGGCGTTGAGTGACAGAGTTACATTTTATTCGCGTCCTGAAATAGGACTCATTAATTTTTCACTGCAATTTTAGACCGTACAATAGCAGAGAATAATTGAAGACCAGACGACCAAGTGGTCAAGTAAATTTTAAGGGGGTGAAACCAGTATTTTTAAATCTTTTTTAACAAACAACTGTAATACTTTTTTCGTTTGAATTTCTCATATTTGTTAATATTTATGAGAAGCGTAAAATATTGATTTTGCATGTTTCGGAATATAGTAAAAAGAGATACAAAAGAAACGAAGAGTGAAAGTAATGGTGGGGTATTTTTTTGGAAAATTGGGGTAGAAATCGACGAGAAAAGGCGACGTTTTCGTTTCCTGGTAGACGGGAGCCTCGCGTAGCCCCGAATTTTGACGCGTCCCAAGCGGTTATCGTGGGTGAGTCGCAAGGGTTGGCTCGCGAATCGATCTGGCTGTCGACTAGCCGACCCTTTTAGGCTGATGCTGCTGGCCTGTAATCACGGTCGAGATAAAGTGGATAGGAGGGTCCCGTCTCGAACGAGAGGGGAGAGAGAACGAGCAGAGCGGTCGGGAGTCTGGAGGAGGGGGGGGTAGGGCACGGGAGATCCCCGGAATTAATTAAACGGTCGGTCCCGCGCAACCCCTCTAACGCGCCAAAAGTTCGCGTCGTTAATTCCCTCTATCTCCGTGCGCCGCCGCGCGAGCCTTGGTCTAAAAAAGAAATATCGAGCGACGGTCAGGTGAAAAAGTACAATGGAATTTTTATTCGACCGTACCCCCATCCCTGCTCGAAGATTCCCTGTACCGCGGGGGTCGCGAGTCCACCTAACCCCGATGCTTGAAACCGACTGTAGCTCCGGTGTAACAGATTTCTCGAAAATTGGTCAAAATTGAGCGCCGCGTGACCCAAAGCAATTGCCAAGTAATATTTTTTTCAGAAATCGTAACAGAACGAAGAACGGAATAATAAGAAACAGTTGGTTGCGTATGCTTTAGAATTTCGGTAATAAATTGTGGCGATAGTTCCTGCACTCGCCGGCAGAGGGCTACGCTCTCTCGCAAGTACCCGACCTATTGCCTTACTGATGGGTATGCTAGTGCAGCCAAATATGGCGGCTTTGAGAGTTGCATCTCACCACTATGCTTCCAACAATTCTTCCATCCCTGTTTGTAACAAAGTTTGATGGGTTGACTTCGATTTGGTCGGAATCCCGATTTCTGACTGTCGTGATAAACCTCGAAAATAGAACGCGGACTTGAGAAGACGTTAGCGTCGGGGCTGCCCGTCGAGTCAAACTTGTCCGATCCGCCACGGAGTGCATAAATCATCTGCGAAACCTTCCGAGGCGGTAATCAGCGTCGCGTCCTACACGCTGACGGATCGAGCACATTAGTGGCAGGGTAACGCGCTGCCAACGAATTATTGGCGATCAACCAAAAGTACGGAACCGATATCCCTTGGTAGGTCGGGACAGGCTCGTTACACTGCGGGCCGCAATTTCGCCGCGGGCCAATCAATTATCAAGATTAATCGCGGCGTGCTCGATAATATGCGGCTGGTTTGCTTTATTTGCCTGTAATTTATTAATAATCCTGGAAGACCAGTCCACTCGATTTCGTGCCGGTTTCCCGTTAATCGCGAAGCCTGTACTCGTTTTTAGGAATTGCTTCTTCTCCGGTACCATTCAACCCCTACAAACATCCCGATCGTTTCAGGTTTCAGCTTATTATCTTCTTATCAGACTGTGTGTCAAATGATATTTCAGTTTTTCATCCTCCCACCTTAACCAAAAATAATTTTTCCAGAATGATTCGATACTCTTCATTTTCACCGAAAAATTGGGTACCTCCGCTTACTTCAATTTTTTTCTCGAATGTGCGCAGGATTTCGGGGGTATGTCTATTCACCAAAAATGATTGTAATTGACCCCTGCATTCGAAAATAATTTTTCCAAACCGATTTGATATTTTTTAATTTCGTCGAAAATTTTAGGCACCTACCTCCTTGTCGATTTTTAGTAATTTTGTTTAACACCCTATAGAAAAGTTGTATAATACTGTTTTATAGGTACCCGTGAGCTCTGTTTCAGAAAAAAGTTTCATTGAAGTATATTCACTATTGTAGGAGTTATGGCCCTTTGAAATCTGGACCAGTTTAATGGTGTTTTTTCTCATTTTACGGGGTTAAAGAACAATTATCGGCTATTTTTGGAATTTCTACATATTCTCCACCAAAATACGCGTGGTTTGCCGTTTGAAACATTAAAATCCTTCAATCCGTTCAGAAGTTATGACGTTTTAAAGATACGCATAAAATTTCAGTGAAACATATCAACGTATGGTCAGACATGTAATATTCGGTAAGGATTTTTTTTCTCGAAACCGCGTAGGATTTCGAGGGTATACGTATTGACCAAAAGTGATTGTAATTGACCCCAATAACCAAAAATAATTTTTCCAAAACGATTTGAAATTTTTTTTTTTACGAAAAATTTCCTCACCTATGGAATTTTTTTCACGAAAGTGTGTAAGATTTCGAGGGTGTGTCTATTCACCAAAAATGATTGCAATCGACCCCCACAACTAAAAATAATTTTTTTAGGACGATCTAAAATTTTTTTTTTCACCGAAATATTTATCTGCCTTAGATACCCTAACCTTTTCCAACACTCTGCTTATAAAAGAGCGTGGAGCATTAACGAACAAAACTTAGATTTTCCGGAGTTTCTGGAATCTCATCGGCGCCCAGCAGCCCCAGCGTCCATCATCCCCATTCACGGCAAGTTCCTGTCGCGTTTCGTCGCGCATCAGCCGGAACTCGAAATTTCTGCCGATGAAAAACGACGGTGTATAAATCGTCCCGTGCCCGCGAACTCGATAAATTATAATACGCCGGGTCGGACGGAAAATAATCCGAGCGCGGTTTTTATCGGCGCGCGCGCGCGCTGAGGACACCGACGCTTCCGTTCGCACGCACCGAGCGTTCCAGGCCCTGGTTTCTGACGCGCGAATAGTCAACGGGAACTTGGGCCGTAGATCGTGGCGGAAAAATCAGCCGAACGAAAACCCGACCGCGGAGTTCGCCGCTTCATTAATCGCGATCGCGCAAATATTTAAAAATAACAAGGACGGGCTGAGGGCGGAACGAAACTGTCGACCGAACGCGTCGTTTATTCGACGAGCCGGGAGATTTTTAATGCATCGACTGCTTCCTGCCGCGGCGAATTTTTTACCTCGACGTCGATGAAATTTATCCCGAAAATAGAGTAACAGGAAGCAGGACTGTTCATTACCTTTTCATAAAGGTCGGACCGAATCGTCGGCCATCGATAAGCCGTGTTCGAGACGCGTCCTACTTCGTTGACGTGCAGAGTGCAAAAATAATATCTTGCGAGAAGATTAAAATTTATCAAAAGAAGTCATCCAATTTTCACTAATTATAATTTCTAGGTTTGGGAGTTTCGAGTTTTCTGTTCAACCCCCTCCCTTTAATTCGTTTTAGATTCACCCCTGAAAGACAATATTTGAATTAAAGTTCATAAATATATAGGTTGTTATTGTACAAACGTTGTCGAAATTGTGAAAAAGATATTCCGTGTAAATCATGGTCGCGTGTGCCATTAATTACTTAATCGACTATAAGTTTCCGTCGAGCGTTTCTTCGCAGGCGATTTCCGTCGTTCGACACGATAAGACCGTAAAGATTGAAAATTCATAAGTTTTTCCAATACGGTGGAAAATTATTATCCAGCCGGTGGGAAGGACCGGGGGCAGTGTTCGTATTTTTACGGTGGCGTTGATGCCGCCCCGTGTGGACCTTATTTCGTCGAGTGATGGATCATATTCCCTGGATTACGAGACGAATAGAGCCCGTAAATATTGAAAGTTGGTCGTTAAAATTATTTACAGCCAACGATTTAAACTTTCCACGTCCAGATTGTAGATTCTTAAGGGGTTGGTCTCTTTGTTCTGTAATTTTATTTGGAATAAATTCCCTAAAAACAGTTCCTTTTCGTCCGAAAGAACGTCTACCCCCTTAATACACCCGAGGGTTTGGTTCTTGATGGAACGGAAGCCCGAAGCGAAACGAAAACGTGAATCGATATTTCTCCATTTCGAACAGACGTCCCAAGAGTACTTTTCGAAGTTATCTCCATATTCGACGCGTCTTGACACCGATTTCGAATGTTTCCTTTAGAGAAGATACGGTCTTTTGGGATAACAACCCTTCGATGTGACAATTGCTCCACGAAATATTGCATACGCACGAGTAGAACTGATAAGCATTACGAAAAGCATTCAAAAATGGCGCGTAAAAGTTTTCTGACCTCAAAACAAGAAGCACGATAGAACCTCGATAATTGCAAGCATTTCCAACCCCGATTTCTTGCAATAATCGAAGTTCTAATGTACAAAAATATCCTGATTATTTATTCCTAGATCTTTGTTACAAAAATACAATAATATTTACATCAGAAAATTAGTTTAATGGAATCGTGGTGGTTCGATAGGTTATGGCAACATTTGCCCCAAGACGAAATGGGGCAAAGTGGTGACCATAGTGTACGCCATAATAGGCATGCCACTTTTCTTGCTGTACCTCAGCAACATCGGCGATATTCTTGCGAAAAGCTTCAAATGGACTTACGCTCGCTGCTGTCTCTGCAGGTAAGCGCCATTTTCTTATTTTCCTTTCTCATAGAAAATTGTATGCATTTTACTTGTCGGAGACTGAATTTATTAAATTGTAATCATAGTAGCAATTGAATATAAAAATTCTCTTCTGTTAAGGTGTCGAAGAAAGCCTCGCGAATTGACGACGAGAGGGGTTCAACGCGATGGCGTCGATATCAGGAAAAATCATTGGCAAGTGAGTTTTCATGTACAAACTGCTCCTTTAATTATTTAAATATCAATTCTGGTCACATCAGTACCAATTGGTTCCAAGATTACTCAAATGTTCAACGTCGGTGTCCCAATAATTATTACGTTGTACAGACTGTAAGAGTAATACGTATTTTTTAACAGTTGGTCAACATGCAAGGAAGGGAAATTCACGCGACCAGCGTGGACAAAGAAGTTTCCGTGGAAAGCAGCGACGACGTAGAAGAGAGCGATGGAAATGACGAAGATGATGACGGTAGTAGCAGCTACGATCCACAACAAGTCACAGTCCCCCTAACTCTCTGCGTCGCAATTATGGTTGGGTGAGCATCAAAGATTAATAAAATCAGAAGGTTAAGGTGATCAGCGAGGTTTAACTAAAAAAACTAAGCCGTAGTCAACCCCGTTTACAAGTGACAATTTTCACCCCGGATTCAAGCAACTGAGTCGTCCACACCTTGTAAGCGAGGGTGCATCTCTCTATTTTTAACGAGATGGAGCGAAATCAATTAAACCCCGACAGAAGTATTAAATTGTTCAGTGGCCATCGAACCATCGAAACTTGTCGCTTTAAAAGTTTTTCGTTTCGTACGACTGTCCAGATACATTTGGGGCGGAGCGATCCTGTTCTCCGAGTGGGAGGAGTGGAACATGCTGGACGGCTCTTACTTCTGCTTCGTCTCCTTATCGACCATAGGTTTCGGAGATATAGTACCGGGCGACAAGATCTACGCGGCTCAGGGCTTCGATTTATCCTTCATCTTCTGTTCCATGTACCTGATGCTCGGTGAGTGTAAATGTGTCACGAGTCTTATTAGTTTTGACATTTAATGTTTCAACTTCGAGACGCGGGACGGTTCCATTGGGAGAGATACGATTCGAAAGAGTTGCAATTTATTTGTTGGCTCTACATGAAACTAATAAATGAAATACGGTTCTTGTATCAGGTTGCGAGTCGTCCGTTGCGGTTTTGTCCAACTTATTTGGCCGCTCAAGGTCATTAAAGAGCTACCCCCACTACTCTGTTCGTCCTAAAATATTTATTATCTCCTCAGCAGACTATTTCAGTTGACATTCTTTTTCTCCATGCTTGATTTCTAGTCAATAATTGATCATGTACTAATGGATATATTTTGTTTCGATAGACAGTTTGAGAATAACAAAAAGTTAACAATCTAATGTGTCATGGTAACCTCTCTATTTGAAAGCCAGAGAGCACGTGAACAGTACACTGAAAATAGCTCCAAAGTGACCTTGAGTGACCAATTTATTTTACCGCGACGTGACTGACGGATGGACCAACAACTTCATTCCATTAGTTACGTTACCTTCGATTCGCTACTGTAAATTCCAACAAAATTTTATACTCTGTATTACAATAATCAAAATTTTAACGTCGCATAATTATTCTTAAAAACAAAATGGAGGATAGCTAAACCTTTCTATAAACAGAAAATTATTTCTTTTCCTCTGTAACGCAAACGTCCGACGGGCAAATCCAACGGTAGTCGAAGCACGGAAAAATTGCAATTATCCAATAGTCCAATGGCGGAAATAATGTTACATCGAGGGCTGGGAATCATGATTCTATTGTCCCGATGGAAATTCAGTTGACGTTGATGGAAAAAAATTCCATTTATCGGCCGAGCGTTTGCGGAGCGATCGTTGGAGATTCCCCGTGTCTCGCGTCGAAGAGACAATAAAATAATAGGACGATCGATATCAATAATTCTCAATGGGGGGAGAGATTTAAAAACTGGCAGAGAATAGAGGCGGAGAGAGAGTTAGCGTCGCGCAGGTGGTCTCGCTGGACTGACGCGAAATTCACGTCGTAATTGTTCCTTTGCCGGAGCGACAATCGGATTCCCGCGGATTTCCTGAGGGGTGTGCAGACTACGGTGACGGGGTAGGGGGATGAGGAGGGGCAGGGGGGGATAGGAGAGAACACGATGTCGCGCGGGCGGACTTAATCGTTTTAAAAGAGCTCAACAGCTTTAACTCGTCGAACGGGACTCCGTTATCCGCTTTGGATAGGCTGGTTTCGCGGCGCGAGTGTATTAAGTCGCTCGTCGCGCCCAATAGCCGACAAACCCTTTTGTTCGCGCCGTCCGCGCGAAATTGTTCGTGAAACAAAATCATCAATCGACGATCCAACGGGACCAGACCTTATTTTTTCGACCAAATTTTTTCCCCCACGCGATATCCCACGTCCGTTTCGTTTAATAATAATTCCTGGCGATTTAAATAACAGACTCTCGTTTCCAGAGACAAAGTAGAACTGTTTAGGCGTGGAATCGAAAGTGGGGGTTGCGGGAGAGCGTGGTGGGGATGGCGCCAGGGCGACCTTGAGCGGCCAATTTATTTTACTGCGACGTAACTGGTATAGATCGACCGCTAGCTACACTCTCATTGTGTTTTTCAAAATCCATTTTGACAGCATAGTTCTCTAGTATGCAGTAACATCCTTCGTTGTAATATATTTTTGTAATCAATACTCCTCATCGAACCTTCCACTTTAAGTAAATGTCCTTTCTTTTGCATTCCCATGTTATTTCGCTACGTTTCTAATGTTTTCTACGTTGTGTTTTTAAAAAGTAAGGTCCGCTTATCGATCGTGATTCGATTCGTTTCCAAGTGAAGGGTTTGGGAACGCGTAGTCCGGGGCTCCACTTAATGAAACCGAGAGCCAAAGTGTCGCGAAGCGTGTCAAGGGTCGCGAGATCGATTGCTTCTTAACCCCCGCCGCTTTATACACTACGCGACAAAAGTTTGACAACGCTCGGCTCCTCTCGAGACCGTGGTAGATTGGTAGACTCGATTTTTATTGGCGGATGATGGTTTCGAGCTACATCAAAGGGACGAAACATTTTGTCCGCTGAAGATTCGATCTCGAAGCGTGTATCGCGTTCTTTTTGCGTCTCCAGGGTCGAGCGATTCTCAATGTTTCGTGCAATTATCGAAGTCCTACGAGTAATTATCGGGGTCCCACGAGCAATTATCGAGGACTTTGCCAATCGGACATTCCCCTTGTCACTTTCTCACAGTTTACCACGGACAGGTGCAGCGTCGCAAGAGTACAGTAGAACCTCGATAATTGCACGAGAAACTCGATAGTTGCACTGTGCAGATCGGCGGAGGGGATAGTCGCGTAACAAGTAGGGAAGTTCGAGGTGAGAGTAACAGGTAGTTGCAACCATAAATATTGGAGATATAGTATGAAAAATGGGTTACCTCGATAATTGCAACTATATTTTACTAATTCTAAAGACAATCAATGAACTGAAATTTAAATCATTGCATAGTTTCACGTATCATTTCATCCACTTTAATCCCACCGAATCTTGTTTGTCGAGTCTGTTGTTTTATCTTTTGGGTACAAAATAGTAAAAAATAGTACATACCGTTGCAACTATTTGGAAAAATATGGCTTCCTGAAAGTGGTGTTTATTTTACAGGAATGTGTGCACAGTGCAAATATGCGTTGAATACACATGCCTGTAACTTTGTCAATATAGTGAAACCGACAACACACATTGATAGAAATATTTTCAAGGGTATTTTCAGAGAATGAAATTAACAGGAATTTTTTAAAGGGAAATAATTCATCCCTGAGGAGGTTATTCAAATTCTCCCCGTATGGCAGTTTATATCCTGGACTCTGCAAGGAATACAATCTGAATTGCTCGACGTATAAATCGCGTACCAAATGGGAATGACAAAATAAACACCAAAGAATCGAATCGTATCAGTACCGTCGCTGCGTCGCGACGAAAAGCATGAACTCGACTTCGCTGTGTGTTGCAGGTATGGCGTTGATCGCGATGTGCTTCAATCTGATGCAAGAGGAGGTGATAGCGAAGGTGCGCACGTTCGTGCGTACCGTTAAATATATATTCCGATGCGACAGGTGACCGAGCCCCGTCTCAGCCGCATTCTACGCCCTCCGCGACATTCGGTGAGTCCAATCTTGTCACGTTTTATTCATGGAATATCTTGAAAATGTAATCGCACGGGGCTTACGTGTCGCGACGGAAAAGCGATCACGATGGCGTGACGATATATACTACCGGATCTCGATTTACGCGACAAAGCGCCGCGAAGAATGTCTTTCGTCGAACCAGTGACGGATGCAACGAAGAAGGGCACTACAGGGACCTAAACCTGTCCAATTGATCGGAAGATCTATCACGATATTCCTGCGATAAATGTGAACATTTTTGTCCCTCTGGTTTAGCAAATTGTGTCGTGTTTGGTCTCGATTTAAACAATTATATTAACGTCGTAAATTACATTATTTATTTCTATCGTGTTCGCAATTTGTAGGAATGGGATTCTCGAATCTTTGGTCCCCTCCCCTCCAATAAACTCGTCAGTTTACCTATTTGTTCTCTTACGAAAAATCTCCAAGAATCTCAGCAGCCAATAAATAGACGTGACACAATGTCGCAACGCGCGTAAGATATTCTCGAATAAGAAAAGAAAAAATGAAAAACCGCACGGCGTCGACGTTCCAGGCAGGTCTTCCGGGAGCGTGATGTCGCTCGAAAAAAGAGAGAACTTCCTTCTATCTGCGACGACTCGCGTAACAGATAAAGGGGAGCAGAATGAGGATAGGGAGGTGAAAAATGAAGTCTTCTTTCGAGAGAAAATATAATGGAACGGCGAAAAAATAGATCGACGGGTCTCAAACGACTGCCTTCGCGCGTCCCTTTTTCTTATGCAACAATATACGTCGCCGGAATGGAAAAATCCCTTGCACCTTTCCATCGGGAACATCCTGCCCTCGGAAATCACGATCAATTTGTTCGCCTGCGACAGATTGCAATGGACTTACACTTTTCAACTTATTATTTAAAGAAATGAATTTTTCTGAATGTCGATTGTTTAGACGAATTTGTTATTGAAAGATATACAATTTTCGTGGGACAACCTTTTTTGTATTCGCAATAGTTTCCGAGATATCGAACCACATAGAACTCCCATTCTTCCCTTTATGGATATTTTTCATCCTGTGGTATGGACATGTATGGGGGAAAAAATATGGCGGATAATTACAAATTTGTGGCGTCAGCTCCTGTGCCTGCCACCAGAGGGCTACGCTCTTGTCTCTCTCGCAAGCGCTCGACTGACCCCTCCGTTCCTACGCATACGCTCCTCAACCGACTACCTGATATCCCAGGGCCTGCTAGGAAGCCTTACTAGCGAGTTCAGTAACATGCCCAAAACCCTTAAAAAATATAAACCGGTTGGAACACAGCGAGCGGTAACTTGTACTCGTACTTTCCCGAGTTGTATTTCGGTGTCGAGTATCCGTCGAAAAATAAAATTTCTGCTCCCTCCTGGCAGCCTGTCCCTCATTGTTATTGCAGTAACTTTTCGACCCCGGTACGTGACACGTCGCGGCGATGGCCAGGGAAAAAGAAGGTCGACGGCGAAAGATCGCGGAGAGGTCCGGTTGGGTCGCGTGGCCTCGGCCTTCGGCGTCCCGCGCTCTCCGTGGACGAAGACGAAGGAGAGACGGAGGAGCAAGGAGAAGAAGCGCCGGCGGGGATGAGGACGAGAGAGGGCGCTGATGGGAGGGGGAGTTACTGGAAATAGCAGGAGAGGTTGTCGGAACGGGGCTGCGGCGTTCCTTCATGCGGCGATCGGACCGCACGAGGCCGCGCTTGCGCCTCCGATCCCCCGGCGACTGATCTTGCGCCCTGCGCCCCCGTCTACGGGGTGCGTCCGTGCCGGCGACACACTCCATGGACGGCAGACAGTTCCCACGGCACTCGACGGACGCCGTTTCTCGTAAAACCTCGCCTCTGCTCGACTCTCGCGTCGATACCTCCGCGACCTAACCCTGACCGGGCCGAACGACATGTTCCGCGCCGTCTGAACCCGCCGCCGCCGCCGCCGCACGCCGTGTCGAGTTTCCTCGCGTGCACGCGACCCCGGAGTCCAAGGGGATGCTGCGTCTCGACGCGGCTAGTTCCAACGTGGCGAGCGGCTAGAAGGCCTACGACGAACCACGAACCAACCACTGCCCCATGGCTCTGACGGAGTACATGACGACGTTTCGTCTCGGAACAGCGACAGCAGGTACGACCGTGCAGCATCCGGACCCACGGACGACCAGCTCGTCGACTAGGGAGCCGCGGTTCGTATTGCCCCGTCGCGGACGTCGCGTCTGCGATAAGTAGCGAACGGGACTGGTCGCTGGTGGACACGGATCAATGTAAACGACCGAGACGCTGGCCGTCCAGCATCCTCCACGCGAGTCAAGATACAAAGAGGGTAAAGGAACTGTTGACCATCGACGTTCGACGTCCTACGGGAGATCGAGAAGTGTTCAAGTGTGACGTCCTTTCAACCGGTCTTCCCTCGACGAAGGTTACGAGTTCGCGTCGATTACGCCTAGACTCGTGACCCATACGGTTCGATTCGATTGGGAAAAAGTTTACCCCCGGACTGTTGGCGGACTGACATGCCTCGCGAAACGTCTGTGGGAAGTTGAAGGCTGCTACGATACGGACGGGAGAGCGATCGCTGGTAAGGTAAGTGCCAAGTTACCGGACGAGGAGGGGGCGGGAGGAGGGGTAGTTTCGAAGAAAGTTTTTCGAACGTTTCCGAATCGATGCATCGCCGCCACCGAGACACCTCGTGCACCCCGTTCACGAGACACGCACGCGATTTTTATCGCGTTGCCGCAGTTCCGGAATGCTTCGCGTCTTGCTCTAGCTACGAATCTCGCGAAAGAAGTAATTGGAAACAATCCTAACCTCTGAATCCCAAATATGGCATTGCTGAAACGGACGTTTCAATCATCCACGGTTCTTGTAGGTCCCATTGCACCGAGATATTTGAAAGCAATTGTGTCTTTGAGGTGTCTTTGCTGATACTAACAGGAGACGTATAGTTCTGAATTCCAAACAGTTTTAATTGCACCAAGGTGCTTGACCTCCCTGGCAATTAGAAAGAATCCAAACGTAACGAAAATCTACTCCCACCACCCAATAATGAATTCTAAAAATTGCTAAAACTCAAGTGGACGAGTAATTGAGGTTCTCAGTTTAAGAATACTACGAAGCCTCCACAGTTGTTTCAGACTCGTTTGGTAAACCTTTATCGCCTGCATGGCGACGGAGACAGAATTTTAACAAAGATCGTCGGGGTTCGGATAACTGGTTCTCTCTGTACGAGGGGAGAGGTGGTCGAAAAGTCACTCGAGGGTGGCAGTTTCGTCGTGTTCGCGGCAAAAGCTGGTTTCGCTGACGAGTCGTCGGGTGAGCGAGCCGGAAGTGCTAACAAAGACGGGACATTTATCGGAAGCTGTTAACGCGGCTAACTCGGGACAACGGCGAAATTACTGTGACCGACGAAGCTTAAAAACCTGATCGTTGGACAGTTCGAATCAAATTCTCGCGAACGTTGCGCTAACCGATCGAGTTTCGCCCAGAAGATGGGACATACTTTGAATGTATGCATTTGAAACATTGAGGATGGGTTAGAAGATATACTTTGAGCACTAGGAATGAGTTAGACTATATATCTTGTATACTACATAGAATACATACTTTGAACATTAACATGTTCACTGTTCATGACCCGTATACGGGTCATAGCGCCATGCTATTGGATGCGCCGCTAAGAAACCGGACAGTGAACGTGTTAAGGACCCTTTAAAAGCAATTCTTTAAACGCAGCTAATTAGAAGATACATTTCGATCGCTGATCCAGAAAGAAAGCGTCGAACGTGGTGGATTAGTTGAGAGGCGCATCGTGAAAATTGAGAAAGGTTAAGCGTTCGAGGAGCCTTATGAATGGCGATCGCGAAGATGCCCTAAACGAAGCAGAAAGAAGAGAGTAAAACGAAAATAAGCTGCTCGTTCGGGCGAGCGATGCCAGTCATTGTTCGATCCGCAACAGTGGGACGCGTCTGTCGATTCGTCAGTGAAATTCGCTTTTACTCGGTGTAAAGGCGCAGGCGTCGCAACCACATAGATAATTCATAATGACGAGGCAAGCTATAGTTGTCATTCCCGCTCGCGGAAGCTTCACGGTTTTTCTCCATCGACCATTTTCCTTTTTCCTTTTTGCATCTTCTTTCTGCCCCTCTAGTGGCCAGCCTTGCCCCTTTTCGCCTTTTTCTACAACCCCTAAGAAACTTGTAGCTCCACCAGCGCCGTGTCACAGATCTTTTAACGTAATTGGTTTCGTACACGTACGGCGTACGTGATACCTGAGCGACTGTATTTATTTTATTTATCCACTTTGGCAATTACTATTTACTGGTATTACGAACGACACAAACCCTTGTCCAAGAATATGGTAGAAATGTTTGTAATAGAAAAGAATATAGTTGCCTTTCGTGCTGTTCGATTTTGAATTTCGCGCCAAAACGAATATATTCCGTGTCCTTCAAATTTGATAGGATCGTCGAATCCTTCGAGATTTCTCCGTCGTGCGAAACGAAGCAGAAGGCAAACAACTCCACTCGCATTAGAAGCGTTAAGTGAAAATTGTTCAACTGAAGAAGCAGTTTGTTGAACTTGTGTCGTTCTACGTGTTTATCCACACCACTCCATCACGTTCAACGAGCTATCGCGTTTCGTTCGTTTTGCACCTCGAAAAGGACAACGTCAAGTCCTGTAGAGAAGTGTTTCTCATACTTTTTGACCCTCGGTAGATAATATTTTACCACTTAGAAATAAACGTCTAAGTAATTATCTAAAGTGTATTACTGGTACATTAATGAGAATCACATTTATATCGACGACATCACAAAATTCGTACTCCAATGAGTCGAGTTATAACCTCAAAATTGAGTAAAACTGGAGTTGACGATAACCAAGATATCAGTTGATGTTTCTAGCCATTTATTCGTGTCGCTGTAAATAAAAGAGAGAACGTTGAGGGTTCGTTTCGGGAAACCATATTTCCTAACTTAAAAAACGTCGAGTACGAGACTCGTGCTCAAGATTGTCGTCTGGAATTTTGTCTTTGGTCAGTGAGCCTTCAATTTTTTCACCGACTAAACAGCGTCCAGACTCGGTTGCTTTCGAGAGCTCGTAATCCTAAGGGTCTTCAGTAAATGGGCTCCCATGCCCCTACTCTCGGCCCTTCCTCTCTTTCTTTTTCGTCCAGCCGGAAGAAGAGGGATTAAGGGTAGACTTACGCGAATATCCTCCCCGTTCCTTGGTCCTTTGAGGCCTTTATTAGCGGCGTTTATGTACTCGGGGCTCGTGAAATACTCCTTCTGGAAACTTATCGCTCCGGGCATTTCAAATAACACCCTCCTCACGGTATTTTCTTCCGCTCCCGCGCAACCTGTTTTTCCCATCGCGTCGCCCGCAGTCTGCGGCGTTCAACGGCCAAGTTAATTAACCCTCTGCGCCCGGATCTAAACTCTCCTATTTCTCGCCAGACCGTCTAAATTAAAACACGAAAGTATTGCTCTTCCAACCAAAAACTCTCCATTAATCCAATCGAATCTCTCCGCTTTATTCATTTTAACAATTCTACGATTATGAAAAAAAATTTATACAGTTAGATTCGTACATAAATTTAAACCTCTTGTTTAAACGAGGTTTCCAACCCCTAAATATGAACTTCTGCAGTTAAAGAGTTTTATCCTCTGCAGTCCGAGGGACAAATGTCGCGAATGTCCACATGGGGTGACCTAACAGTTTCGAGAGATCGTAGAGGAACGTGACGAATCGTAAGAGAGGGGAAAATGCGGGGAGGGACGAATCTGACAACGAAAACCGATATACGGCGGTAAAAAGGGCCGAAAGCGAGGGGGAAAGTTTTCAATTTCACCGCGGCGAATTAAAGCGTCGACGTGAAATGAGAAATTAAAGCGCAAGAGGCACGTGAACGTCGACCGAAAACCGGTGCTGTGTTCGACCAGCGATTTTTCGAAAGCGCCATTTTTCTTTTTTTAACGATTGCAAACAATATGTAATTAAAAACAGTCGAAAAAAGGCCGTGTTTGGATTTATTTTCATCGGGATTTCCTTGCCAACCCAGTGATAATACTCTCACGAAGATGCAAAAATGAATACACAAATTTTAATTTTCAATACTGAATGAAATTTGACTATACATCCAGGAAAGATTTTTATTAATCGTTTCGCTAATTTTCTCTATTAAATACGAGTCCAAACACTAGATTTCATATAGCCGGGGTGAAATTGTTTCACATATCCGGGTATTATTTCTATCGCGTAAGTTATCGTCTACAATAACGTCGAATATCTACGAGCATTGAAAGAAACATGTGATTAGACGATGGCGGAGTATTATTTCATGGCGTTTCGGCGGATCGAGCTGGTCGATTCGTGGGGCGGCGAAGGAAATGAGGAAAGTTACGATCGAGAGAGGGCAGAAAACCGTGGCAATGTGAAAATATTTTCTCGCGGCGTTATCGAGTTTCCATCATTCATTCCGTTCGAATGCGCTCCCTGTGAAAAGCGTCGTTGCGATGAAAGTTACGCGGGCACCTTATAGGAGGACCGGCAGGAACGTTAAGAAGAAGTTAAGGGTCGCTTTATATCGCCAGAGTCACTGGAAATCCCAAGGTACCGAGCGACTGTTTGCGACTGGAACTTCGTACCACCCACCTAATCCCCTTAATTTACGTCACGGTATCGAGGAATTTCCTTGGACCTCCTTTGCTCGTTACTATCGAACATACACAGTGCGATTCCAGGAACTCGAGGTCGTAACTTCGTGTCAAGCGAAAATACAGATAAAAACTTTCTTAAAGATTCGTATTAGGAAAGTAGGAGAGACATCGAGGTTATTCGTCTCTTAATACCAACTGTCATGGCGTGTCTCTTCATCCATCTTCCTAACACTACTGTTTCTATGCGGACTAAAGTAAGGAAGACGTAACAAAACGTAGTTGAAAAACATCTGTTCAGCTCCCAACACGAGCTGTCTTGGCTTTTCTCTTTATCCATCTACTTGAGCAACTTGTCTCGTGCAGGCTGAGCACTAGGTGAGATATCAGAAAACGTGGTCGGGACACGACTCCTCAGCTCGCGAGATACCATTATCGGTTTCCTGGTTCGTTCGTCTAACGTCACTGTTCCCAAACTGGATAAGGAATATCAGAGACCCGGTGAAAATGTTTCCGAATCCCTACTTTTATAGCAGAAGACGGTACTAGACACTGAGGACACTGATATCTCAGCTCCCACGTTAGGTTCTCGAATAACTTGCTCACCCTGGGAAGCACAGTTTGCACAAAGAGACGAGAAACGTAGTAGTCAAACACTATGGTGTATCACGATCCTCCTGCGACCAATTGATTCCATCCCCGCTAGAAATTGGAAACTACCGGAGCACGGGTATTCCATGTCTCAAGATCTGCGTGGGACACGAATCTCTAAGCACTTCGCGAAGAAGAGCGACGAAGTTGGCGAGAATAGGGGGAGGGGGGAGATCCGTGCGATTAATTGCTTCGTTAATTGTTTCGCGAAGTAACAACGGTGGAAGTTCGCGATGGTAATCGGGTAATGTCATCAGGCGCGGGGGTAGCAAATAAATC